ACGATTGCAATTGAAATATTTAGTCGTCGACATTTTCCAAAGAGTTACGAGAAAACGATTATATAATTTGCTATTATTACACAGATTGTGAGAAAAAAAGTTAACTGAATCGTTCAACTAATTACTATTTTATTAATTGAACATATAGAAGTATTTAAATTAAATACAACATATTAAATCTAATATAATGTGTTTTGACTTAAATACTTATATGTCCAATTAACAAAATAATAATTAGTCGAACGATTTAATCATAAGCAACATTTTTTCTCATTGTCAGTGTAATATAAAAAAGTATCCTTAAACGCACTAATAAGAAAAACCTGTAAGATTTTAAAAAATTATGCAATCGTAATGTATTGCAATAATAATAAATATTATAATATTTATTTATAAATTATATATAAATATTATATAATTTTTATATATAATATTATATAATTTATGAATTGTATATAAATATTATAGTATAAAATTTCTCAAAAGTAGAAAGCAAAATTTCTATTAGATTACTTAATGTGTATGTCATTACTTATATTTATTTACATTAATTACGCAATTATCGTCGCCAATTTTATCTAGAAATGCAGCGAGTGGGAGTGAAAAAGGCTAAAAGGCTCGTTTGTTAAAATTGCGCGTAAAAGTGCCATACAAGATAGCAGTTGCACGTGTACACACGTATCGGTACAATATATTACAAAGTGTTCGTGCTTACGTGCGGCGCAAATTGCATCACTTTGAGCGAACTTACAAATGCAATTTCCACTCTAGCGCATCGCGAGATTCAGAGAGCCAAAGAAACAGAGAGAGAGAAAGAGAGAGCTATCGTAATTCGTATACGACATTTATTTTTGAAATATCCGCACGTGTCACGTGCTCGTCTATTATCTGTCAATTTAAAACGCGCGCGAATTAACTCGTTATTAAATCCGCCTTGTTTAATGCAACATTGCGCACTCTTTTTATTTTTTCGTACACATCATCTTGTGCGACGAATTAAAATACGGCGTCAAATGACAGCGCGTATGTATATGTAAGTTTATGCATGTGTCAAGTGTGTAAAGCGCATGTTTGGCATCGGATCAATGCATCAATAATGCTCGTTTAGTGGCATTGATGCCTTTGTGTAATCAAATCTACTCGGGGAGGAAAAAAAAAGAATTGCAAAGGAAGAGCGAACGAATGCAAAAATCCGATTGTGCTTGAAAGATCTATCGAAATTCTCTATCGACTTTTATTTTAAAAAAATTATTTTTATTTGAATTTTATCTCGAAAATAATAGGAACAAATATATTATTTTAATAAATATAAGAATTATTTTTCTATATAAAAGTGATAAATAAATTAATTAAATTAAAAAACTAAAAATAATTAGCGATTTCGTGTTAATGACAATAATAACGTCACGTTTCGTGTTAATAAAGATTAATTAGTACGTCGATTATAATCGTTTATATATCGATGCATACGAAATTAAAATTATATATCGTTTATAAATTTATGTAATGGAAATAAACGATTAAAACGAATGCTCATTAATTCAAATTTAAAAAAAAATTTTTTAATATTATTCTAATAATATGCCAAAATTAATAATAACCTTTTAATATCCAAACGACGTTATACAAAATTTAAAAATCATATTTTTCCTTTCCGATCAATTGTGATGTGCAAAATTTTAACGTAAATTATTAATTTTTTAAGTATCCGAATGATATTAAACATGGGGGCCGTGCTTTCTTGTAATTTTATACGGCGTTCGTTACAAGTGCCCACCATCACAGATCGCATCTAACTCGAAACTGTTTCAACTGATGCGATCAATCCTTATCTGTCGGTGAATAACGTCTAAGTTCATATAACGCCATCAAGCTCGGTAGTTAGTTCCTGATGCGTTTTTATTTTAAGAAAATGAATAACGTCTAAGCCGATGATTAACGATAATAAAAATAATTGCTTTTATGTAATTTTTATTTTTAAATGCTGCCTATAAATTATTTCATTATTTTTCTCTAATAGAGAAATTCTTTTGATATTTAAATTTGTGATTAATGAAAATTCGACGATAAAATTCTATATATAAAATAAGTTAATAATTTCATTATTATTTATAAATCCTCCTATTAATTTTTCATTTGAAAATTATTAATTTAGAATTGACAACAAGTTTGCAAGAGTTAAATATTAATACATCCTATCATTTGTCACTTGCGATTATTGATTTTCTTATACGATTTAATTATCTAGTTATGTAAAAAGTATATTTGAATTGTGCATTATAGTCATTTCAACAATTTACAATTTCAATACATTATTATCCTTCATAAGAAAATTAAGATTATGTAAAAAGTGCATTCATGATATTATGTGAATAGAAGTTTATTTTATATATTTTCAATGTTTCCTATTTTTTATATTAAATATATATAACAATGATTTAAATCATGATATCTGAAAGATGTTATATATACAAATTTAATAATATTTATTATATCTTATAATACATATATATATTTCAGATTTTTTATAACTCATAAAGATTTTACATCTAACAATATTTAATAAAATATAAATTCAAAACATAAAATAATTTCATAATAAAAAGTATCTTTGTAATATAATAATAAATATGCGATACTAAAAATGATGTATGCGTAGAATATGCGCGGGTATAAAGTGTGCTATACTAATACAATAATTTCAGAATAAGCCCAAAGCTAAATATGCAATGCATGATGAATTTGCATGTACTCGTGTAATTTCAAAGTAATAAAAAAATTAAATTTAAGATGCAAAAGCTCACCTCGCATACGGCCACTTGCATTTACCTTGTAATTCATTCAAAGTAAAGAAAGAAGTAAGAACGAATAATCAATTCGGATTAATCACGTTGAATTCGAATAAAATTAGTAGATAAAGAAATAAAAATCGGATAAGGCGTTGACAAACGTCGAAGACGAAAAGGAGATATAAAGGCGGAAAAAAATATAAGAATTTTCGTCAAAAAATCGAATAAGTTCTTCGCCTTGTCCTTGAACACGTTTTCTTCACAGAAAACCGAAATTTTTCCGCTGCAAAAATTTCGCGTGGAAAAAAGGTCTTCTTAATAATTAATTAATTTTAGAAAGAATAATATAAGAAATAGTCCCCTTCCCGTTTCTCCTTTTCCGAGAAAAAAAAAAAAAGAAAAAAAAAAAAGAAATTGGGAAAAATGTCAAATTGCGCTCGTCTAGCGCTCGTTGCTGCAGTAGAAAGTCGTAGTATGTCAGCGAGTAGTAGTAGTTGTACCAGTAGCGTCGTTGCGAGTTTGCGCGTTTTAGCACGCGACCGAACGAGCACCCGAGGAGTCCGAACCTGTCGAACGCGGCGCGATTAAACCCGTGGGTCGAAGCGGAGACGGTGAGCCGAACGAGCCGAGAAGTCGTTCGTCGAACAGAGAGGGCGGCCTCTCTCGCGCGGAATCGGGATCGGGTCAAGAAACCGGAGTCACGCTACATCCTCGGCCGCCCGACGAGAGGTGTCCGTTCGCCTGCCGGGGTTGTTTCCCCTCTCTCTCACTCTCTCGCTCTCTTTCTCTCTCTTTCTTCTTTTCCTTCTCTCTCTCTCTTCCTATCCTTCTCAATTCGCGCACTTCATGATATCGTTAATTACCTCGTACACAATAAATACATCTTTGTAAATAAATACTTGAATAAATAAAAACTTGAATGAATAAACGAGGCGAGGATGATCGAGATCGGAAACGCACGAACTGCAGCGCGCGACTGTCGGCGCGTCTCGCGCGGATTTGACAGCTCGCGCGTCGCGAACTGTCATTCGCTGGGAGTCGCCGAGCGGCTCGCTGATTGGTCGTCCAGTCTGCGGACTAGACGCGCGTCTCGAGAAAATGTATACTTCACGCTGGACGTGCAAAAATCACTAGATCACGGATTTACATTTTTCTATATTTAAATCACGCGCGCATTTAAATTTAGATGAAGGAATTGGACAGAAAAATATGTGTGTGTGTGTGTGTGTGTGTGTGAGAGTCTGTGTGTGCAAAGTTTGTAACATCGATATTGAGAATTTATTTCGCGAAGATACATCATTCACATTCACGTGCATATATATATGTATAAAGAGATGATGTATTTTTCGGAAAGAAATGTAATATAGTAATAGGATCTTCACATACATACGATTAAAATATAAAACACGAAACAATATATCTGCTCGTGCTTCTTGCTCGAGTCGTAATATTGTGTTGATCAAAGTATTCCACGCGTTGTGCTTCATAATTGCATTTCGCGTGTTACAATGCGTTTAATGTCACTGCACAATACTGCTTTAATTAAACAATTTTTCGTACAATACCTAATTATCGTGGCGAGAGAGAGAGAGAGAGAGAGAGAGAGACAGGCCGTCTTGACTTCGAATCGACTTTGACCTTCAGGCGGCGCTGGTATGCGGCGCGTCACGTATTACATGACGGAGCGCGGAGCGTCACGTGACAGAGCGCGGAGTGGGGAGCGTCACGTGACCGAGGGCGGAGTGGGGAATCCATCGTCCTCCATTGCGAACTGCAGCGAAGCACGGAAGAAGTATCTTTCTCTCTCTTTCTGAAGATATTTTTGAAAAATCGTTTTCTTATCAAGAATACTTGTGTCTAATGTATCATCTACAGGTGTGTGTGAAAATATTTTAATAATAACCTATACATACTTATAAATTAAAGAAAAAAGTCATGCGCGACTGTGCAGTGATTTTATCGACAGACGGAATGATTTGATATTGCGGCAAAATTTGAAGTATGATTTGAAGTTAGGTTCTTTTATATTTATGTCTTCAAGTATTAAAGCATTTGCTGATATATTCATCGATGCCTGCAACGGAATCGGCACGTATTGTGTTATATTTGAATCTTGAAAATTAATTTATTCAATTGGCTCGCTTGATAATTATGGTAATTATTCTTAAATAAATTTGAAATAATATTCCTTATATGAAAATTGTGTAAATAATGTAGGCTAAAGCGACAACTTGCAAGGAAGCTATTCAAAGATGGGAGGAGAAAACAGGATTAGTCGCGAGCGAGCAAAAAGAAATAATTTTATCCTTCCAATGGCCTCCAATCGAAAGAATGGATAATAATTTGGCTTCATTGATCAATGTCGAGTTTGTTTTCCTTGAATAAATTAACAAAACGTTAATATATATCGATTAAATAATTTCTTTAAAAATTGCCTTTGTTTGCAGAAAATTATCTTTGTCGACAAATATGATAGAAAAGATCAGTGGCATTAATTCGTTGAAACATTTGAGGATCTTATCCTTGAGTAGAAATAATATCAAAACATTCTCGGGATTAGAGGCGATTGGAGACCATTTGGAGGAATTATGGATATCTTATAATTTGATTGAAAAGATCAAAGGTGTCAATGCTCTTAAAGCACTCAAAGTCTTGTACATGAGCAATAATCTGGTGAAAGATTGGGCGGAATTTAATCGTTTCCAAGAAATACCCAATCTACAAGATTTGTTATTCATTAACAATCCTATCTGCGAAAATATGGACGCGGAATCGTGGCGCGCTCAAGTTATAAAACGATTGCCTACTTTGAAAAAACTTGATGCGATACCAATTGTGTATGCCACATATTATCTTCTTTCATTTTATACCATTTTTAATAGATATTGCAAAGCTTTTCTTTCTCTTCTAGTCATGCAGTTGAAGATTAAACTAAACTATTGAAATATAGTAGAGAATGTTACCCGGAATAAATTTGCTCCTTGATTAAAATAATATAAAATTTATATTTACACGATGCGAGTTGGTTGAACAATAAAATCTTTGTTACACCAGCAATTGTGGAAAGTTTTGTTATCTGGCCATTTTTCAAATATACTTTGATGATACATCTAATTTAACACAAGTTCAATAGTTCTCAACTTTCATGTCGTTGAGTCCAAGTTCTTCATTCTGCTCAAAACTTCTATCATATTTCTTGATATTTAATCTATCATCGGGCCCATCATCGGAGAGGCTTTGCACATAGCTATTTCCAGCCGGGTCATCTAAAACTAGAGTCACTTTTCTTTCACCATCCAAAACCTCTTGCAAATGAGCGATAAATGTGTTCATTCTCTTCCCAGTTTCCAAATCACTGCTATCTCCAGTGAGAGCTGTAGATGAAGATAACTGTTCCTTTACCGCTGTTATAATCCCTTCGACAGTCGTGAATCGACCGCCCAGAGCAGCCGGACCAACTTCTAACTCGAGTTCGGGTATCTCCATGTCGCAAGTTTCAGATTTTAATAAATCGCGACTGAAGTCTTCCTTGCCTGTTATCGTCACTTCGATTCTGACTCCCTGAGGTTCGATTCCACCGCCACTTTTCACCTCGTTAGTTCTATGACTACAAGTCTCGCACAATGTTGCCATTATGACAACCTCTTTAAAGTGCGGTATATCTTAACATTGTATTAAGGAAGAATCTATTGTAATATTTCTCTAATTTAACATTTAAATAAATTAATATTCATAGCAATATATATAAATGTATAAATATATAAATCTATGCATGTTGATAGATTGAAGGATTGCTAAAGGATTTTTAAAACAGATTATACAATCTTTTGTAAAAATAGTAACATTTCATATATTCTTAATAGTATATGTTGAAATTAAAATAATCAGTTTGATAATTTGGAAACAAGGAAAAGTTTTATATGTATACGAGTAGACAAATTCTTTTATCTCCAATGTGATATTCTTATCACATTTGCGATAAAAATAATTATAAATAAAAGAATATAATCATATATAAAGGATACTTGTCACTTTCATATTTGTTTCGCAGGGGCTATTGCAATCTGGGCAATTGGTGGGAAAGGACAACACTTCGCCTTCAATTTGTTCCAGAGTATACTCTCCCTCCTGTATAGGCTTGAGCAAGGCATCTTCGTTGTCCAGGTAAATTCCTAGCATACAATTCTGTTCTTTCGTTCTTTTAAAGTACGTTATATTACATTGGCCATCCTTGATTGGAGCTTTGGGATTTTCTATATGACTATTTCCTGAAATGTCTTGGAAGATTATGGTAAATGGCTCGTCAAGTATTTTCAATGCGTGTAATTTGCTGATGAATAGGTCTATTTCGACCGCAGTGTCTGGAAATTCCTCTCGCCGTCTAGGCTGATCCTGTTCCAAAGCTCTAATACTCCTATCGATTATTCCTTCTATCGTTGTGATCTCTCCTTTTTGAGATTGCGCAGGAATCTCAAAGTCTAAGTGGGGAATATGAATGCTGGTGTAATCAGATTTAACTACTTGACGATTCAGATCCTGCTGCGTTGCTACTTGCAATGTTATTTTGATACCTCTCTCCGCTATCTTTCCACCACTTTGTATTTCATTATTCTGATAGCCACAGTGTTCGCATTCGAAGGACATAAGCACCACATCTTTGTAATGCGGAATTTTCGTTAACAATAACTTGGTGATTCCCTGAGACAAATGTTCAAAACAATCCAATTAGAAAACACGCATTTATGTATAATCATTAAAAGGAATGCTAGCTATATCTGTTTCATCAACAAATATTATTTTCATTAAATTCTTTGTTAGCTATACATATGTGTATATAAAAAGAAACAATGATAGTTAAATAATTACAGTTCTCCTATGGTTTAGATTAGTTTAAAAATGCAAAGACTGATAAAAAAAACTGTAATTATTTAGCTTTCTTTTTTTTTTATATACACATATAGCAAGCCCAAATTTGTTATTATGAATATTTTAATTCTAGTAAAGAATTTTCCATTTTGTATAGCTAATAATTAGTTAAATGAAAATAATATCGATAAAACAGACACATGGTATTCCCTTAAAGATAAATTCTTTTATTAAATTACGTGAACTAAATAAAAAGCGTCTGCTTACATTTTTCCCGCATTCCACGCATAAACTCTCGATCTCCGTAATTTCCGGCTCGAAATCGCCAGCTGACAGTTCGCAGAAAATTGGTTGATTTCTCTCATTTCTCGCTCGCGTGTCTCCCGCTGCCATTTCGGGAGGTTATATCGCACGAGTCCGTCCCACGTGACACATGTCATCACGTCGACTGTCATCGAATCGATTATCGATAACTATCGATTCCAGTCGCCATTGCACAAAATTCAAAACTTGTTGCTGGAAGATCAGGACGACGAAATTCACAATGATTGACATCATCAAATCGTCATCGAGTAAGTAATTTTATGCATCCTAACGATTCGCAAAAATTTCATGTCTTCCGTCTCGCGTTATCGTTGTCGATTTATCGAAAAATCGTTCGACGCGCGTTTGACACAAAATACGTAAAGCGCGAACGCGCATGCGCACATCGATATACGCGCGATTTTTACGTGTGTGTGTGGGATCGCGCTAGAAATTCGGGAAAATCTCGCATGATTTCTCGAGTTTGTAGAGCCTCGAATTCGAATTAATCCTCATCCCCGTTCCGCGGATGCTGTCGCGCGAGGCTGCGTCTTGATGCGGATCGAGTCGTCCGCCAGGACGATGGAGAAGAGGTAAAAATGTTTCCTTCCACCACGCGAGGTTATATTTTGGTCCGACTGGGAAAGATGATAAATGTCAATTTTGTGTCAGGTTGTCGGAAGCCTCGGGGCCACCGCGTCCAGGACTGTTCAGCTCCTCGAGGAAGAGCAAGAGACGCAGCAACCGGAGGGTGAACCAGGTGGACGCATCGCCGAGCACCTGGGGGAACGGTCCCAGGAGCGAGCAGGAGGACACCCTGGTGTCAAGCGTCGAGTACCCGCCGCAGATGCTGTGGCAGTCCGCGGGAGTTCCTCAGAATGTACCTGGTAACGGGCAGCGTCTGTTTGCCGCCATGTCGGACCCCAGCGTGTGCGGTTACTCTCCAATGCCGTTGACCTACACCATGCAGCCGGTCTCACTGCCACCGATGTACAGGATGTACCAGCCGATGCCGGTGCCGAACGTCAGAAGCGTCCATGGTAGACACAGACGTCACTGCAACGAGCATCTGGCCAATGTTTGTCCCGGTGCAAATAATAACGTTAATGGCTATGGCAGTCTGCGGGAGAATGGAAGATTGGAAGCCACGGTGCATGTTGCTTATCAAAATGGAGACTACGCCAGTCTACCAGCCACTGCCAACAAGGACAGTGGTATCAATAGTGATGAAATGAATTCGGAGCAGAGAAGATACTCGGATCCTGGTTTGGGACCTGCGGAGAATTTGCCTCATTCAGATAATTCTGATGACTCCGACAGTATCGAGAGTGGAAGTTCTGTAACAACAATCAGCCGTAGTAACAAGCTTGTCCTATCGCTTATCGAACAGGTTTGTAGCTTTCTCTATGTATTAAAAAATTGTTGATAGTACAAACAATATTGTTGATTAAAACAAATTTAGTATATAAAAAGGCCAACTAATCGAGCATTATTAGATGATATAAACTAAGTATTTATTCTATATAAGATAATACAGTACAAACGTTTCGACCGCACGCTCTACTTTTAATTCCTATACTGAAGAAGACCGCGTGCGGTCGAAACGTTTGTACTGTATTATCTTATATAGAATAAATATTAGTTTATATCATCTAATAATGCTCGATTAGTTGGTCTTTTTATATACTAAATTTTGTTTTAATTAATAGACGAGTAAATACACGTTTTTAATATTGTTGATATAATTATAGTATAGTTCCGATATAAAATATTGAATATTAATATAATTGTATGATGGAAGAAAAATGTATGATACATATCATTGGTTTATTAACGTATTCTTTTTTCAAATGTGTTACAGATGACAGAACTAAAGAAGTACAACAATCAGTTGTTCAAAGAGCTCAGTGAAACTAAGTCATATGTAGAAAATATAAAAGAAAAATTAGCACAGTGCAAACACAATACATCTACAGATTATCAACCTGGAATGTTATCAGGTAGAACATAATTTTAAAATATATAATATAATGTACAATAATTAGTTTTATAGAATTAAGAATTAATTTTTATATAGAGCAACAATTACATTACAACTTTATGAAATATTATATTATTTGTTTCAGGTCTTATAGGCGAAATTAGAGAAGCTAATAAAAATTGTGAAGAAGGCTTAGTTACAAAAGTTAAATCTATGTTGGAAGAAAAATGTTATCAACAAACAAAAGAAATGGAAGAACTTAAGGTATGTACTTGTACAGTAAAAACATTTTTATACATATATTAATTTTTTACATGTAATAATTTTTCAAATACAAAGTTGTTGATGTGTCTCCGATTGCAATATAACTGAGCATTTTTTCGCAACTTTTAAATTAATACAACTAAAAAATAGTTACATTTTTATTAAATTATATATGTATCTTTGAATAATTTACTATTATATTATCTTTCTAATTAGCATCAGACACACATATACAAAATTTTGAAATCTTTAGAGATTACCTTTTTTGGTTTGTTAATCTTTACTAACGAGAAAGTATTATCGTCATTGTTAGCCTGATCATCTATTTGAAATATTATAAATAAGGAATACACAAATTCTTAAATAGAAATTATCAAAGGATTATGGTTGGAGTTGGGAGTTGGAGTTAATCGAGATGTCATAAGCTCGTCAGGCTTGCTCGGAGAATGTGGGAATAGAAAACAAAAGCAGCGGGGCTACTAAGAGAACCCTTTTTTTTCTCATGCCGCTCATGTCTTCTTGCGATTGAGATACGGTAATATGAGCACTCGGTTCAATATTTTCGGCACTCGCTCTTCCGGGTCACGATCATGGACGTAATGTTTGCGCAGACGTTCCTGCGTTCTGTTTGATTAGGACTGCCAGGTGATTGTGGTATCTATCGGTCTTCTTTTCAACTTTCCCTTTCTCGGTTATCACATCCGATATACGTACAATTGATGTTGTTTTCGTTCGTTTCCATATTTCTATATTTATCGCTTATTTGATTAATAATCTTTATTTAGGCCAATCTCAAATTTTGTTTTTTATGGATAAAATGTTATTCTTTAATGTATTTTCTGTTTTTAACTGCGATGTTTATTGTTAAAAAAGATACAGCAGTATTTTTATATATTTTTTTATGTTAATGTACATTATTAAATTGCTAATTGGTCATCAGCAGAAAGCCATGTATACGAATAATCAGGATCACACACATGTATTATCTAAATGAATCAATTTTCCGTAATATACTATTTGCTATTTATAATGAAATAATCGTGATATGCATTAGAACGTTATATTGTATACATTAGCACAAACATGCAAATGTGTCGTTTATTACATACATTCGCACGTGCGTATTGATTTAACAATATAGAAGGGAATATCTAATACAAATTGTACTTTTTTTATATATAATTGCATCATACAAATGTGTAATCGCTTTTTATCACACTTTTAACTTTTATTACCAGCATTACAAAAAGTATATATAATCAAATATGAAAACATATTCAGTTTTAAATATATAATTTTTCAAATATATCCGGTTAATTACATGTATATAAAAGTATATTTGATATAAATATATGTATAAATATATTTCCATATATAAATTTGGAGAACATGCAAAGTCCTGAAAATATATAATTCTTTTATTATAAAGGTAAGGAGTGAGAAAAAATTTTCTTGGAATATTCTGAAAAAATTACAGATCCGAGACTCTCATTTTTGAGAAATAACGCATTAACCGATTAGAATGTAATGCATGTGCGACTTGATTGTCGAAGGACAGGACAGGGGAGGATAGAAGAGGGAAAATTCGAATTGTAGAGAGAGAGATGGCTAATAAAGTCGGTTGATATCGGAGAACGCAATGTAGACATAATACGAAATATCCGCGTGACGTGCTAAAAGTGATTAGGTTTCACATAAGGGCATCACAGTACGTTGCAGAAGAGAGAAAGAGAGGAAGAAAAAAAAGAGAGAGCTAGAGGGTCCGTGAAGGGATGAAAAATGGGAGGAGAGCATCCAGGTCGGATAGACGAGGAAGAGTGGAGAAGGACGGAGCGCACTTAGCGGCTGTCAGGGGCCTCTCCCTTGGCCTCTTTTTCCTCTTTGCCGTGTCTTCTCGGGTTTCAACCATCCATTAGCCTCATCAGCCGAAGCGATGGCCGCCACCGCCATGTCGCCTGCATATTGGCAATCTCGTAATTGAACCTCCGGGACCCTCCACGTCCATGTAAATTCTGCTGCGCGTGAGAGCCGATCAAGGTTGCTTCAGAGTTCCTGCAGCTATTTACGCGTTGTTCAATTTATTTTTTAAAACGTGGAGAATGAGAGGATAGGGTGATAGAAACAGAAAATAGTTTGATTATAATAGTTGGGCAATTGACATTGGTCTTATTGTAGATTAGGGCAGGTCAAGAGTAAATGTTTGTCACGATAAATATTTGATGTAATTAACAGATTCCCAGAAGGGTGTACTTTTCAGTGAGACAGACAAACTTTTGATAAAACTATCAAAGGTGTATATATATATATATATATATATATATATATATTATATGGTTAATAAGATAAATTTTATTTTATTTGCTCAGATAAAAAAATTCTTCAATTTGACCCTGAACTTCTAGATTAATCTATTGTTTACTAAATGTATTATCTTATTTAGAATTTATATAGTCTAGTTTCGACAGCTTTGCCTTTTTCAAAGTATTTGATAACAGGTAGCATATCAAGCATTGTCAAATTCTATCTATTAATCCTATTCCTATTTATTTTATCTATTGTATCTATTATTTTCAAATATTATATATATATATATATATATAATTTTTTTATTGCAGAATCAATTATCGAAGTTGACGAAGGAGAAGGAGGAAAGTGATGAGCGTGTCGCGAAACTGGAGGAGGAACTGATGGTGTTGAAGCTGAGCGCAACGTAAGTAAGCTCTTTAGCATCTGTAAATATTTAGAAGCTTGCTTTAATTCTTATTCGTATTCGTTTTGTATCCTCAACATTGTTTCGAGGATGATGTATATACATATTTGAGACGCGCAGTAATATGCTAGAGAATTTGACCGAGTATCCGATAAAAAAATCGTCGAAGACGATTCTAATTTTAATTATATTATTTCCCTATAATTTGCCCCTCGTTTATTTCATCGCTGTTTATTATACACTCACCCTACTCATGATTTTCACGCATATAGGGGCAGGTATAATCTTTCTCTATATTATATTTATACATATAATTGTATATATATACATATATATATATATTATATATATGACAAATTGTTTGCAAGTAATTATCACCTAATAAACCGCGAACATACATTGCAGCATCGTCCATCTCGTTTCGTTTAATAGAGTTATTAAACGTTGCTGAAAATTGGAACGCGATATATCACGTAAAATACGTCCGACGACAGCTTCGTGATAATCTAACGCTTTCTAAAATCCCATAGCTAAAATAAAAGACAAGTGAAAGCCATGATAAATGGTGAAACGTTTGAATCTCACTTCTGGATACAAGAGCCTTCGTGCAACTATATTTACGCGATGATCTCTCTCTCTGAATTTATTTTAATTTTACATACGTAATTCTCAACACATTTTTCGCTTCATTTCTCGTTTGACCACCAATTTCCATCTCTGCACTGATTCACACAAATTGTTCACGGCGTCCCTTAAAGAGCCCGCGCCCCTGCTAAAAAAAACCTCAATTCTATTCGCACTTAGCAACGGGGGTCGCGAGATCGCAGCCTTCGAGGAGGAGACCCTGGCGCTGCGACGGGAGCTCCAGGAGGCGCGGGCGTCCAGGACCCTGGCCGAGAACCACGCGGCGAAGTGCGTAAACTTTGCGGTATCCAGATCTGTCACGCGTGTAACTTTCGATACGCCATGTGTAACCAGCACCCCCGTGCGTAACGCTCTTACCGACACTTGCTCCTTGTCCCCGGTTCTCCCCAGATTCGCAATCCCATCTTCTGTCCCGCGTTTTTCCTCTCGTTCTTCCACGGAGGTAGCGGCACTTTCGCTCGTCCTCGAGGATGCGAATCGCCGTCGAAACGCCGGACCGGAGTCTCGAGATTTTCCGCAGCCAACGGAGGACGAAAGCGTGTCTCGCTGCTTCGAGACGACCTGTCAAACCATGGTGGCGACCTCCTCGAACGAAGATACCGTGAACGCGATGGGAATCGAATCCCGGGACAAGATCAGAAACCAGAGGACTTCGGCAGGACTTGCCACGATTCGTCCGGATATTTCATCTACGTCGAAGGATAACCCGGTTCTCTTCAATCGAAAGGAAGTGGATATTGTCGACTCCACGAGCGACGACGGCAAATTAACCGAGGAAATGGATATGAGACACTTGTTGACGACTGACAGCTCATTGTCGGAGGAACAAACCGGCGGCAATCGTCAGGATCTTCGAGGGAAATGCGCGGAGATGACTTCGGTAATGGAAAAGGATGCGAAAGCAAGGATTCTCGTATCACCGAGCAGTCTCGAGAAGCAGAAGGATTTGCTAAACGAAGCGGAGAGCTCGATTAATCACCCAAGCTCCCAGAAAACATGCACGTCTCGCACTCAGCGAGGTAGTTTGAAGAAACCTCCGCGACGGAGGACCGGCAACTTGAGGAGATCGTTCAGCGAGACCGACAAGAACCTCAAGGTCAAGGAAAGTCCCTCCTCGTGTTCCTCCACGATTATCGGAGGGACCAGTCGCGACGCGGTGAGCGAAGACGAGGGTTGCCGGTCTCGAAGCGACGATCGCCGAGACATCATCGAAGTGCCGGATGTCGCCGTGGTCTGTGGTGGCTCCATCATGCCGAAAAACCTCTGCTCGACGAGAACCCCGATCTCCAGAACCCAAAGAGAACCTTCACGCGCCACTTACACCACCGCCTATATCTAAGTTACGTACGCGCGGGGCCCCGGCAAAAAAAAAATAGAAATAATAAATAAATAGAGAGCAAAATCACGCTACTCACTCACGTCGTCGATATCGGGGGCTTCAAGGGGCTTTTTACTAGAGGCTACTACTATGTACATGTCGAATAGCACGTAGGTCTATTATTCACTCATCATGCATGCTTTTTCGTACAAGCTCGATGTATTTATGCTACACGCTTTCAAGGGAGTTACGTTATGCCAATATATGTTTATATATAAGTTATAATGTTATAAGTTACTTTTAAAGACAATATTTTATTTTCAGAAATTTATGCAGTTGATTATTTTCCAATAGCTTGGTGACATCATTTCAAATATACTTTGCTTATGAAATAATGTATATATGTAGTTAATTAATGAAATAGATATAGTGGAATAACGTAATTCATTCATACTATATTTGCGATATTTTACATCACTGTTCTCAAAAGCGTTGCATTTTAAAGGGAAATTGGAGAAAAAGATGTCTGCTAACTGTAAATAGCAATTTTTATATTCCATTAAAACTTTTATATATTTTCAGTATTATATCCTTTATTTTTATATTCTAGTAAAATATTTTTTTATTGAGAATTTTGTCACGGAAAGAAAGATAAAGAATAGTGATTCTTTATTATTAATGATTAATAAATATTTTGCATAGATCATCGTAGCAATTGTTTCAACTGCTATTTAAGTATGCAGACACATTAATTTGTATTATTATTATCATCATTTGTTACATACATAATTATATATATTTTGATACATGATTAATTCATGAATAATTGTTGTTTATTTTAGCAGATAACTTGAATTATCTAGATAGTTATAAATATATATCAAATATATGTAAAAAGCAGGATATGTATAATAAATACTTTTTTAATGAATTTTAGAATATATCTTAATCAATATATATTACAATGTTAAATATTAAATACTTTCTGATTGTTAGTATAGCAAGATTTTAACAGCATGTTTTTATTCGTACATTATTTTTTCTAATTACATGAATTTTTATCATAAGTTTTATTTTTAGACTTAAATTAATTTTTAGTTTTATTAATTTTACTTTTATTTGTAATAATGTGTTTTTGTATGCCATATTTGTATATTGTACATATATTTTTTATATGCTTTTTGTATGTGATTTGCATATGTATTGTTCCATATATGTATATTTGTATTCTCTTTTGATAAGCATCGTATAAGTTAACGGAATAATTGCTTTGGCCATAATTTCTGCATGATTTATGCATTAGAAATTTTATATAACTTCTAGTTGGTTCGAATATATATTTATGTTATAATCTTTATATATCATAATTATGTTTAGATATGTATTGTCGTAACATAAACATTTAAAACCTATTTATTTTAAAAATTAAAGTTTTTACCAATAATAATAATTGTTCTTCTTAAATAAGAAAGTTTTAATGTAGTTCAGATTCTATTAGAATATTGCAGTATATAATTTTTCATTTAGAATATTCCTTCTTTAGATTATTTTTAAGAACAATTATTATCGAGGAATTTCCTAAATATGTAAAAATTTTAGCGAGATTTAAAAAAAAAATATTCCTTCGCTCATTTATGTGATTTAATGGATCCTGCGATTCAATAAAATATTTTAATTTGCGAGATGTCATTATGATAATAATAGCACGGATTGAACTTTTGTATGCATCTTCTCCCAAGAATCATCTCACGCAAGATCATCTGCATAAATTGTGAATGCACTCCCGCTTGCATGATATTCCTTCCGTTCCTCGAAGATCCATCGACATTCTTCTTCCAAGAAGAGATTTCTCCCAGCACACGTTTCGTCCGGATGGCAGGCACCGAATCGCCTTGTTTTCTTCTGTTTTTAGCCGGCAGCATGGCTTTTCGCTGAAACTTTCGCTTTGCTCGCTTCTAAAGAGATTCTTACGTCTTTGGATGCATTAGCGGTGGAAAGAAAAAAAACTGCATCCAAGCCGGCATGAATGAATGTAACGTGACATGAAACATAATTTGTCAGAATGGAGAAGCTGGTGGAGATACTGCGTAAAAAGGTGAACGGTCCCATGGAAGCCGTAAGCAGGATTCGTGACGTTCTGGCTTCCGATGCGTGTCATCATCACATTCCGGAAGGTGCGATCAAGGAACCGATGAGTCACGCGCCGCTGTCATCATCATCATCATCATCGTCCGAAGACGAGGAGGAGGTGGAGGACGATGACGAAAACAACGACAACGAAGACGATACCCACAAATCGGAAGCGTCGAGAAGTGATAAAGATTCGATTGCGAGCGACTCCAAGACTCCGCTCGTGATTGATAGTAATGTAAATCTATCGGGACCCGTGACTGATCTCTGAGCATGTGTCGGAAGCGCGATGGTTACCTTATATATATGTTACGGTATTGATTCTATGGCGATTGTGTAAAATCACTATATTTGATAAATACTTGCGTTATTAACAATTAAAATTCAAAACGTCTTTTGTCAATTTTTCTTGTTAACATTGTCGATGATTTTGTGAAATCGAAAGTACGAAATTGCCTAGATTTGATAAAATCACCGCGTCAATTGTTTCGATTTTGTAGAGTGTAATGAATTTTTCTTCGACTTTTATCATCTACTTGAGATGTGGAGATTTTACAGAGTTGTCAGCGATTTTTTGAGAGCGCGAGATAATCCACCTTCGCTCCGTAACATATGAATTTGTAGGTTTCTTTTACGTAATTTGCTCGCGCGTTGTTCAAGTGCCAGAGTGTCTCAAAGATATTATTTTATCGATTAAAACTTTATGTACACTTCACGGTCTTCATTTACGATCGTTTGCCCGTTTATTCAGAAACGATTGATTCCGATCCATTAGAAAAACCTGAAGGATGACTGTCGTTCGATACGTCATCGAGAATGTTAGGATTTGTTAAGTAATTTCATAAGTTAAATAATTCAAAGTATATATTTTCGAAATAATTATTTATTTATTAAACGTTGCTGAAGCGCGTGAAATTTCATTGAACACATCGTTACGCAATAAAATATTTCTCTATGTATTTATAATATCTAGCGAAATTGGAATTTGACTGCAGCGCAGGACACTGAAAGGTAATTTATTATATATTGATAATTGCTTTGTACTTTTTTGCAATGGTGAGGCGATGCCATTTGAATGATTCTAATGCATCGATCGAATAATTTTCTGAGAAATGTGTATAAAAGGTATATAATTTTTTTTTTTTTTGTAAATTATTTCGCGCGCTTGAATTTGCGGCGCACAGATTTATTCGTTACATGACAAATATGTTATATTTAATCTAGAACATTTTTTTTGTTATATTGCCTTTTCTTTTACTGGTTTTGGATTTTTTCCTCTTGTCATTTTCTTCTCCTCGCCAAATTGACTAATTTATCCTTCCCCTTATTTAATCTCGCGTCGAGACGACTGTCGGACATGACGTAATTAATGCTTGGCGCGAATTCCTTGCACGGTTTTTTAAACATTCGAGACAACGTATGATTATAATCAGCAAACTGTTTTTTTTTTATATTTCTTCATGAATATCTTTTTTCGAATAATATTGATAATAATAATTGACTGTTATATTAAATGGACCCATTAATAAGATTGAACTGAATATATGCTAATAAGATTGAATGATATGCAATTTAACACTTGCTCATTTATGGAAAGTAATTTGGACCGCGAAGGGATAATTTCATATCTTATCTATTATCATATCGTATCTTATCTATTGCTCATTACCAATAAGCTTACTTGACAATCATCCTGTAAAAATATATTTTTAGGATGCAGCTGGGAAAGTGTGAACATGATTTGAAAAACTATTAAACTTTTTCTATTTATGCCTTTTAACAAAGCCTCGAAATAAATATACGGATTTTATGAATATTAGTAGATTATATATTGACATAAAAATAGTTTTTTAACGTGTTTAAGCATCTTGCTAAACTATATATTTGTCTGGGATTATGCATGAATATATTATATTATTCCGATTATTTATTTGAACAAATTATTCAATTTATTTGTATATATGTATATACATATATACGTATCTTTACATAGATTTATTTTTATTTTGACAATAGTTACATTATTGTTTTTAGCTTTCTTCACACTTAAAAAATTTATTAACTTGACTAAACCGTTCAACTACATTACTATTTTGTTAATTGAACTTATATTAGTATTTAAGTCAAATATACATTTGTTTAATATGTTACATTTAATTTAAATATTTTTATATGTTCAATTAACAAAATAATATTTAGGTAAAGGATTTAGGCAAGTTAATAATTTTTTTTTAGTGCATATATTTATTTAAGATCGTATTAGGTAGATAGAGATAGTTTATTCCATAAAAAATTTAAGTAGCTTTTTTACAATAATACTTATATATTCTCTTAACAGTTTTCAATATAGAAATATTTTTAACACTATTTAATTAAATATATGCAGTCGAGGTAATGATTGTGTGCTGCAAATGAATTAATAAATATCGTTGATTAATTATTACTATAAGGCGAGATTAAACGTTCACGATGCTATGGAAACATATTAGAATTAGAAGTTTTTTGGCTGAGACTGCCGATATTAATAGCCGATAGGTTTAAATTAAAGTACTAGTAGACTTTATCACTCGGATTAAAGATCAGATTTTTTTCCGACTTCGAATCACACATAGACTATCATATAGTGTTACAATAGTATACATGCAAATTTATTTATTCACTTATATCGTGTCTTCGCCGATATCGTTCATTACGTAGACGACATATATTTTATAGACACACGTTTTTTGCAATTTTATTATGACAGATATCCCTACCAATATATATATATATATATATATATATATATATATATCCTACACTGGCAATAAAGTAGTTTTAATGAGTGATAACACGCTCTAATTGCATATCTTAAGCAGATATGTGTCATATTTTGTATAACTTTTTCTAGAAATCGGTCGAAATACGCGATATTATTAATCGCGTGGACGATCGAGACTTTTAACGTCGTGACAAAGAATAAGGCTTTTTTTCAAATAATATATAGAGTCGTTACAACTCCGTGACGGACGATCGTTATATCCGTTTTACTTCACTGTAGATCGGTAAAGGTTAATTTGTACTAAAACTTGTTCCGAACACGGGGTAATCATAAGTTACTGCTGCGATAAAGTAAACCTATCCGAACTTGTTCGGTAAGGCAAGTATCGCACCGTATCAAGCAAGTTTCATATGTGCCTCTGCTCGAAAATATATGTAATATTCTCATTTATCTCGCCGTTGATACACGTTTCGCATTGAGATATACCTCTGCGTTCTGTGAAAAGTAGTTGGATTAAGATGAATTGACAGGAATTTATTGTGCGCGAACGCTTCTTCGCACTTCTAATCTTCAAATCGAAGAGAAGTTTCATTGTGCTAAGAGAAATATATTGGAAATTGAATAGCTTTTAATTTTTTCTCGTATACAAAATAAATTAGCTACCTTAGTTAAATTTTTATTCATTAATCATTATACTTTACACGAAAAAAAATTACGTATGATAACTAAATTTCATGTGTAATATAAAGACTAAATTTTGCTAATTTTTGTGATTTTTGTGTAAAGTATAATGATTAATGATATAATTGTGTGAGTGTAGCGATATAATGAATTTATAAAAATCAATATAAAATATATAACAAATTTAACGCACTCTGGTTTTAAAGAATAAATTATTAAATTCTCTTAAGAGAATTAAAAAGAAAAATGAGAAAGGAGTAGAATAAACTTAATAAGTTCCGACTTTTTAAAACAAATTTTCGATATCGAAAATTAAGCAAATTT